CAGACTGAGCTACATTAAGTTTCTTTGACAGGAAAACTCCAAGTTGGGAAGGACTGATTAATGGGAGAATCATAAAAGCATACATTAATAAAGAATTAGTTATCGGATTGATTTATATCTGTAAGCTTACTACCTGAATTCACGCCAGAAATCCATCAGCATGTCTTCTGTGTGAGTTTAGTAGTGATGCAGGTCATTACAGCTACAGTAAGATGTGAGCAGTGAGGCATGCAGTGAAAAATTTGGACAGATCTCATCCATTAACTGCCTGGGTCACAATTCTGAGAGAAACTGAGGTTTCATGAACTAATGATGACCAAAAGCCATAAGCTGTGTAAAAAGGTCGGATGTAGCCACTGTAAAATCACCCATTGGTCTTTTTTGATCACAGTCGCTAACACCGAGCAATGACCACGACCAAAATTACTGCAGCCTTATGCAATGAGCTCACAGTGTTTGCTTTGAAGATGGGGAACGGGTGTGAAAATACTCTGCAAATACAGTTGCTGTCTTCAATGGAATTTTGCAGAAATAGAGAAACTGTTGAAAATTGCACATTTTTTGTTTTCTGCATAAACAGAAATTTATATAAAGTTACTTAACCTAGTAACTAATTTTGTAAGTAACTTGCTTTTATATAGGAATGAAACCAGAATACAACAATATGCAGATGACACTGTAATCAGTTATGTTACAGAAGTCAGCCCAAGCTGGTCCTTGATTGTTTGGAGATGGGTTTCCTTCCACCAGTACATGTCCAGTACAATCAGCCTAGGCTGAGCGTGCTGCTCACTCAAACTCTGAGCAATCCATTTGTTGCTGCAGCTACTTGTCTCTGTCTCTGCTATGACGATTATACAGATTATACAGACCATGTGGAGTGTGATGTTGTGGGCCCAAAATGCAGACATGGAAAACAGGTGGGATTCAACGAAAGGCGAGCGGATTATTGAGGCTGTTGCGAAGTTGCGAAAAAAAGAGGGAAGTAAAACTACAAGCAAGTATCAATATTTGGAGAATTGACACAAGCGGACCTGTGTTAGCCGCCTGCAACCCTGAAATGGATAAGCTGAAGAGGATGGATGGATGGGACAAGAAACGCTGAGTGAAGAAATAAATGCTAACATAACCAGGAAATAAGATATTGAGACTAAATGCACCCAAAAAACATGAAGAAGTTATAAACACAGAAAACTAAGAATCCATCAGGAAATAAGTAAAAGTAGAGAGCCCACAGACTCAGAGTGACCGTTACCATGACGCTGACGTCCCAGTGACTGCTGAAGGTCGCCTGTGACAGAACCATCTACCAAACTGAAGCACGGATTTTTAATATAACATAGTCTGTTCAAAAGGCTCCAGCAGCACAAACAGAGGTTCAGTTTAGTGACTGGAATTTGCAGCTCCAGCTACAAGTTAAAAAAAAATAAAAATTTCAGCCACTTTACATTTCTTACAAAGGGGGAAACTATCCATAGAGGCTGTTCCCATTTTTATATCAGATTGGCAACATGCATTTTTAGTGTGTATTTATACGTGGAAGTCTGTGGGGATCGACTTGCTTTTGGAGCCAGCCTCAGCTAGCGCTCTAACATGAAGCATCCTCCAGGGCTGGAAAATCAAATCCAAACTGCAAACAGGCTGAAAACAAAAAATACTCTAGGCAGTTCTATTAGTGATATATTATAATATATCTCTAGTGCTTAGTATTAATAATATATGAGCCAGTGATATAGTTAAAACATTGGTATCACTAGATTTGCATTCATAATAGCAGTAGGGATGACTGCTATCTCCAACTTTACATTCCACACAACATTAATATTCAGGCAATGTATGAATAATATAACGTGGACTCTCTCTCAGCTCCTCAAAAGTGATATTAAACAATTGGATGCAGATTTGCAGGCAAAGCTTAGTTAAACTGATTCTGTACGAGCAGGACCTGCAGTGAGTTGCAGTGAGTTCTGCCAGTTTCAGACTGCAAAAAAACTACATGACATGGAAGACTGAGAAATAAGCGCTAGGGCTAGTCTATTTCCTGGAACGTTGAGTATTTGTTTCCAGTGTTTCTGTATTCTAGTAGTGAGTCTCCCTTAGCACTGTGTGTTTCCATGTCCTGGACTTCTTGTTTAGTGTTTTTTTTTTT